GGTATGTAATTATACGTAATACAAGCTTCAATTTAAGGTAAAATTCAACCACAAACAATTCACAAAACGTTCCAAAGTGTTCTTTATAAAACTAAACTACCTTTAGCTATTAAATGGCTTTATCGATAAACTTTGAGTTTGCAATAAAATGATTTCAAATTCTCGCTTGCAAATAACTTTGCTTATTTCTTATTTAAAAAATTCAATATAATAAAAAAGGGAATCAATATTAAAGATACACTGAAATTATATGCTGTCTTGTTTAGTTGTTTCATATACGCAAAAGCCGTCGGGTTTTAAAGCAATTATAAAATCAATATTTAAAACAAACTTACCTTCGTTAATGTCGGCTCCCTTCTTTTAGCCGATTCTTTCGCGTTTTCGTTCTTGAAATTTATAAAATCTTGCAGAAATACGAGCAAAAATGAAATATATTTGCAAGAAATTTATCAATCATCAAATCAAGAAATGTTTGCTATTTCGCTGTCGTCATGCAGTCGTTATAATGCAAACTTTAAATTGGACCAATCAGTGTCCGTTATTCATGACAGTCCGCCATATTTTTGAGATCAGTGAAGATGACCACCCATCGTTGTTGACCGACGCCCGCGCTCATTGATGAACTTTAGACTTCGCTAATGCTTTCGTTTCCCCGGGTGTAAATAGCCGGGGGGAATTAGTACCCTCGCACGGCGCTTCGCGCCGTCGGCTCGGGGATAAATAAAAAAATAATTCCTAACATTTAATAATTCAGTGTGATTTCTGAAGTAAAGTGTTACAATCCGAAATAAACATATTACATTACACATTTCTGTCATCTCCAACGTTCTCCACGAACAATGACTGAACCTTTGAACACTAAGAACCCAATATAAAATATAAAAAACTTAAATTGCCTATATCAGGGTTTTGGAGTTTGCATATCTCGAAAGTTTAGGGTATTTTAAGACACTTTGCAATATATTTTGTTATTGAAAAATTTCATCTTGATTTATTTATTAGCTCTTAAAGTTACCGGACATGACGTCAAAAGGAGAATTTTGTTGCAATGAAACAAAGGAAAACTGATTTGCAATTCTCCTTTTGACGTCATGTCCGGTAACTTTAAGAGCTAATAAATCCATCAAGATGAAATTTTTCAATAACAAAATATATTGCAAAGTGTCTTTTTAAAATACCCTAAACTTTCGAGATATGCAAACTCCAAAACCCTGATATAGGCACTTTAACTGTCTTGAACTAGTTTGTCGGGTGGAACATTTATATTAATGTATAATGAAATATATAAAAAAATTCACGAGGCTCTTTAAATACAGTCGGGCGGTGATGAGAATCAAGGAATTTATTTTACGTGGCCCAATTGCCAATTACTCCAACTACAGACGCTACCGTTTCGGCCTTTTGGGCCTCATCAGTGTAGTGCTGATGAGTAGGATGAAAAGTAACCACTATAAATAGTTACCTTTGATGTCTCACGAATGTGGGACATCAAACCATTGCCAGAGTGCTCAAACTGCAAGCAGTGAGCATGCGCACAATGCGTAAGCAGCAATGACTCATCCTGTAGAGTGCTCAATATGACACAAAGGCCATAGAGCTATATCTAACTACAGACGGTACCGTTTCGGCCTTTTGGGCCTCATCAGTTGAGCAGGATGAAAAGTAACCACTATAAATAGTTACCTTTGATGTCTCACGAATGTGGGACATCAAACCATTGCCAGAGTGCTCAAACTGCAAACAGTGAGCATGCGCACAATGCGTAAGCAGCAATGGCTCATCCTGTAGAGTGCTCAATATGACACAATATCAACACCGCGGAAAAACGTCTGCGCATGCACCAAATTATGAAAATATCGCGGGGGATTTGAATATCAATTTCTAAAACAAAAACATGCTTATTAATTGGTCAAAAATTAGTAAAACAAACGAGAAAATATAGCAAATGGGTAGACTAGACATTAATTGAAAGCGTCCTGGCATTTAAAGTATGGAATGAAATATAATTCATGTAAAAAATTGTTGATTTTAACGGACACGACTTCGAAAATATTTGAAAAATTATTCAAAACAAAAATTCAAACTCAAAAGTTAAGAAAACTCTCGAAAAGTTAAGCTTCTTAACCCACTGAAATTGTAGAATAAATCCTAAAGTTTAATTATTGTGAACACGAAAATTTTTTATATTTGGCGACACAGTTTTTTTTAAAGAAATGTATCTCAAACGAAAATTCGGAAATTGTCGTTGCTTAGTTGATAAACAAAATGTTTCACACGATAAGTTTGTCAACAATCACCTTTAGTTCATGTTCTTGTACAATAGAATTTCTTGAATCTTCTGGCTGTATTTATTCCTAGTTTTTAGAATGACATGTTTATTTTTGCGCTCGAAATCTGGCTGTAAAGACACACAATGAAGTCACTCCTTTTTACCGCCATTTTGAGCCTTCGGAAACGTTCGGAACAGCTTCTCATCAAGTTCGCAATACTATTACAGGTAAGGTTGACGCATGCGCAGACGTTTTTCCGCGGTCTTCACAATATCTAACTACATATTCAATATCTAACTACATATTCAATATCTAACTACTACTCAATATCTAACTACAGACGGTACCGTTTCGGCCTTTTGCGCCTCATCAGTGTAGGTGCTGATGAGCAGGATGAAAAGTAACCACTATAAATAGTTACCTTTGATGTCTCACGAATGTGGGGACATCAAACCATTGCCAGAGTGCTCAAACTGCAAGCAGTGAGCATGCGCACAATGCGTAAGCACCAATGGCTCATCCTGTAGAGTGCTCAATATGACACAAAGGCCATAGAGCAATATCTAACTACAGACGGTACCGTTTCGGCCTTTTGGGCCTCATCAGTGTAGTGCTGATGAGAAGGATGAAAAGTAACCACTATAAATAGTTACCTTTGATGTCTCACGAATGTGGGACATCAAACCATTGCCAGAGTGCTCAAACTGCAAGCAGTGAGCATGCGCACAATGCGTAAGCAGCAATGGCTCATCCTGTAGAGTGCTCAATATATATACATATACATATACATATATATATATATATATATATATATATATATATATATATATATATATATATATATATATATATATATATATATATATATAATTAATTAAAGTTCTCCGTTTTGAAATATACTAAAATATAATAAAAGTATAAAATATAATAAAATATAATAAAAGTATATTTCAATCCGGAGAACCTTAATTAATTATAATATGCCTGGATTACAAATCTTTAAACACCGAGTGAGATATATCGTGATTTCCACACAGCGCGCAGGCAGAAAACGTTGCCTGGCGCAGCTGGGCTTCAAACCCGCGACCTTCGAATTACTAGATCGATGCTTTACCAACTGAGCTACACGGTCCGGATGGATTGAAGACTGGAAATTACGAACTATATACTGAATGTCGTAAATATACTCGCTTATATTAATAGCATCGAACATACGTACTAGTTATAATTATATAATTTGTGTTATTGTTCAGTCGGGATATATAATATAAGGATGAAATGTTCTTGAGTGCGATATATCGTAATTTCCAAACAGCGCGCAAGCACTGGGCAGAAAACTTTGAACAGTTGTTTGACATTGTATGAATTTAGTTAATTTTTTTTTGAGGGGGAGTGGGGGGGGAGGAGGGTAATGTTGAGAACCAATTTGTTACTGGTTAGGTAAATGTTACTATAAAGTATAAGCGATTCAGAAATCTGAGGTACCTCATGCCATTTACGATTGTATTGTTTAAAAAGTGCATGAATTCAGGTTTCCAGTTTTTAAACTACCTTCCTAAATAGCAGGGGCCGGTTGTATCAAAGGCGTTTAACTTAAACGGCCGATAAAATTGCGTTGTACGAAGCCCGTTTAGTACCGCGTTTAACTTAAAACTAGAAATACAAGCATGCAGCATCCCCTCGCATGTATTTTCCAAACATTGTTTTCACATGCATGAAGTATTAGAAATTGATCAACACTGAACGCAGGCTCGCGTTTACGTCAGTGTTTCCATGGCAACAAAATAAATTGAATTTATGTTATTTTTTCTACCACACTCTACAAATAGTTGAAAGATCATTGCTTTTAACTATATAATAATGAATTTCCGAAATATATACTGTAGATATGTTGTTCTGCATTTTGTGAGCTTTGATGTAAAATTTAACCTGAATCGCTTCGTCAAATGTTTGAAATGTTCATTTTAATATTAAACTATAAACTGCTTTTTTCCAATAAACTGTTTTTACTTTATAAAGGAAAATAAATTCAAATTATTGAGTAATTTAAGTTCGGCTTTCAAATTAATTTGCTCTCCTTTACATTTTACCTTTTTTTTCTTAAATTAAACAGGGTAATTTAGCAAACTTTAATACAGCTTCATTGAAAAGGAAAGTATAGTGCATATTTTACTGTAAATTAAAGCAACAAAATTCATAAAAATTAAACATTCAAAGCAAACTTGCCCTATATTCAACGATTTTCCACAGTAAATCAATTCTCCTCATTTTTTCAAACAAAAATTGCTTCAAAGCTCATTGTGTGAAACGTGATTTTCCAAATATATGCTTTTGAAAATTCAAATCTTGTTTATCCCACTTCTGGCAAACAGCCATTTTTTTGAGGTCAGTGCTTATGACCACCCACGGCTGGTGACCCACGCCCGCTATCATTGAAGAACTTTAGACTTCGCTAATGCTTCCCTTTACGCGGGTGTAAATAACCGGGCGGAATTAGTGCCTCGCCCAGGGCTAACACCCGGAAAGCGCTCCGCGCCGTTAATTTGCTCGGAGATTATAGGGGGCTTGAGATACACCAAATCTACGAATTTTAGATTTCTTTTTGACTATACGTCAGAAATTATATTCTTTTCAAAAACCATGAACTGTTTCCAGGATTAATTTGATCACATGTAACTTGATTGCAATCTTTATATTTTTTCTATATTATTCCTAGGGTGAATAAGAATTATGAACGCAAAAGTTCATCGAAAAGATAAAGCTAACTTCATATCTAAATTCACGCTTTGGTGGATTGTTGACCTGTTGTGGAGAGGAAGATTAAAGCCAATAAATCAAGATGATCTTGATCCTGTCAGGGACGAAGATCGCTCGGAGTATCGAACCGAATTGTTGGAGAAGATTTGGCGAAATGAAAAAATCTATGCAAATCAAACAAGGAGAAAACCCAAACTTTGGAAAGCAATGCTGAAATGTTTCTCGTGGAAAGAATATGGACTTTTAAGTTTAACGTGTTTCTCTACCATCTCGGGAAATATTTTGTATCGCTATTCTACTCTAAAATTAATATATTCTGTGCTGAGTATTACTGGTCATGATTTTCAATTCAGAAATCAGTATCTTGTCAACGTATGGGGCATGATTATTGGATCTATACTTACAAATTTTGGCATTCGACATTTTAATTTAATCACGCCCATATTAGGGATAAAATCCAGAGCGGCCGTTGTTGGTATGATTTATAAAAAGGTAGGTAACTCAGGGCTGTGGGAAGCTCTTTTCGATTGGGGGGGGGGGGCTGAAAGCGAGGGCCGAAGGCACGAGGAAATTTTTAAATTTAGAGTCTCTAAAATGCCATTTCCTGGACTTTGGGGGAAGATTTAACAGAATTCTGATAGTCAGAAAACAGCGTTTTAGTATGTCGAAATTTACAGGAAAGTATGGGCCAGACTGTAGTATTATAAATGCGCGGCGGGAATTTTCGTCGTAAATGGCAGTTGCGCGGAAATGAAGGCAGAACATTTGAGAAAATTTCGAAAATCTGGAGTCTCTAGATGGTCTGAAATGGCATTTTCAGAGTTTTCTTTCGCAAGGCCCAACACGCAAAAGACAAAATAAATCATTAGTTCATCAAAAATGTGCAGATTTTGCGGGATTTTCTTGAAAATGCGCGACAGAAATTCAGCTAAAATTTCTACCCGAGAAACGATCTGGAGTATGAGTAATATCTTCATTCTTTGCAGTTTGTCACAGATTAAATGATATAGTTTGCATGATTTTGAAAAAAGAATAATTATTAGCAAATTATTGGGGGGGGGCTGCAGCCCCCCCAGCCCCCCGGTTGCTACGGCCCTGTAACTTCATCACTCTATCATTCGCATTGCAGCAGAGCAAGTATATTCTCACATTGTCAACGTGGAGGGAGTTAATTCATCTCCAACCCAACACAGTGGCGTAACGGGAGGGTGTCAGGGTGTCCAGAGACGGGGGGCCCTCAACAAAACTGAACTTAAAAAATTTGATAGCACATTTCTGGGGAATTGAATTAATTGAATTGAATTTAATAAAAAAAACCCATTCTCTGGAAAAGGCAAAATCCGTCGAGAAATTTCCCGAAGCTGCGACGGATTAAGTACGTCGCGGCTGAGGTAAAGGACGAGATACTAGAATGAATGAATTGCAATTTCATTGGGTATGTCCGGAAAAAATTTTGGACCCCTAAAATGGTACAATGTCCGAAAATTTTTTGGCGACGGGGGGGGGGGGGGGGGGGGGGGAGGTCGCCGAAAATAAATTGTTCCGAGAAAAATTTTTGGAGCCTATTTTTAGTGTAGCAAAGGGCCCCAAAGTGGCCGATTGACGGAGGGCCCCCAGCGGTTGCGTTACGCCACTGACCCAACGGCGTGTTGCAGCCGTTATTGGCAATAGCCGGAGTTTGGAATGTCAATTCCGCTTGCGATTTAGGCGGCCCCAGTATATCATAACAGAGCGAAATTATACAAATGATGAATGTTTTTGAGTGCAAAGTTAAAAATATTTTCAAGACGTGAAAGATGAAATTTTCCATTCCACAGAAGGAATGGAGCATTTCATCATTGACCGAATGAAAATATTTTTACAATTACCGTATTAATGAAAACATTAATTACTTCTTTAACAGTCCAGTTAATCCCAAACAGCAGTGAATTTTCTGTAATCAACGTGCAATTTTCTGTAATCACAGTGAAATTTTCTTTAATTACAGTGCAAAAATCTGTAACAAATTGATCTGATTGGTGGAAAAACAGTGATAATAAAATAAACCAATCAGTTTAAAGCAGTTTAGTTTAAAGAAGTAACGATCACAGATTGCTTCAAAACAAAACAAATACGGCGCCGCACTACATTGAAGACGATAAAGTAAAAGTTGACCTCAGTTGAAAAATATGACTTTTAATGGAAAAGCCTTTACTTTAAACATGCAGCCATATTTCATATCGCTGCATGTTTCGTACAAAGTTTTAAAAACAAAAACCTGAAAAACCATGAGCACACGATTCCATGAAATTAATGAAAAGGATGTTGACGAGTTCAATGAAACAGAGGAAAATCAGAATACTAAAAGAAAAACAGAACTAGACGTCAATTTAATTCATTCTTATATCGCAAGTGAAGCTGCAGGCCATGTCAATAGATTGCCGAGAATGGAAGAACTGTCGACGTCTCAACTCAAAACTTTGCTGCACATCGCTTTTCTGTAAGAATTATCGCTTTTCAAAGACTGTCCTTTATATAATAAACAGAAAAATACATGAGTGCTTGGAAATACCAGATTTTATTTCTCGTGTTGAAAAAGATATCTCACTCGTTCGCTGCGCTCACTCGTGAGATATCATGTTAATTAAACACTCGAAACAAATCTTGTATTTCCGCGCAACCATGTATTATTCTCTATATAATAAAGCCAGGAAAACTTTGCAAGTGGAATGTTCGCTATAAACATAAGTTAAAACTTCATTTGTTTCAAACATTTTTATGTAAATTATTAATAAGTAATTAACAGTAGGGTTTCTCGTGAAATTTGGATAAACATGCACTCGCGAGTATTTTAAAGACCTCAAATAGCACTCGTTCTTCGAACATGTGCTATTTTGGAGACTTCGAAGAACTCACTCGTGCATGCTATACAGATCCAATTTGCACTCGAAACTATGCTATTACCTATATAGGCCTACTTATATATAACATCAGAATAGATCAATGTTATGGAATTTGTTATTGTATTAAATACAGAACAAATACATAGCTGACATGCATATTGTACAATTAATGTTTAAAATAAATAGAAATATACGACAAGTGTATCCTGAAAATTGTCTGAATGAAGAGTTTGTGGCAAATTTCCAAATGTTGTCTAAATTTCGGGCTAAAAATTCTTGATTAAGCCATTTTCTCCATAAATATCGTTAACTAGAATAGCGCAGGTAGGTTTGGGCTGAAGAGATTGTTGAATGACAAAAACTTCATAACATTATACATACTGTTGCAACGACCGGGACGCATGTGTACCACAAAACTATATATTATTCACCCATTCTTACATGTACAGCCAGCAAAGACATCTTTATGAATTATCTCTGTCGTGGAATTTGTCCCTCTCTACCTTTTTGGATGCCATAGAAATAAAAAACGTATACTTTTTTTACAGGTGTTGATGCGAAGTAAAACAACAATCAACGCGGGTGAAATAATGGAATTGGTATGCAATGATACACAATGTTTAGTCACAATGGTAGACAGAGCATTTCCATATTTGGTTCGGAAAACTATTTCCGCTGTCATATACATGAGTTGGATTTTATTGTTATATGGGTGGACAATCGTTCCTGGCCTCCTTCTGTTTCTTTTTGTTTCCTTGTTTCGTATTTTAGTGACAAGACTTGATCTTAATTTACGACAAAATGCTTCACGCGTGGCAGAAGAACGCCTTGGATATCTGCGAGAAGTTCTGACGAGCATTCATTCTATCAAACTTAATTGTTTGGAACATATCTACGAAAACAAGATAAAAAACACAAGATGGTAAGTTTAGACCTAAATACTATTTTCCTTAGACACTAACAAATTATTGCGATATATACACTGAACCAAGGTATAGGTTTCAATACACATCGGAGCCATGGACGATTAATAACGTTCACATGCTGAGCATTATTATGACCTTTTTTTAGTTGTTCAAGAGTAAACATTCACAAAGGGGTGAAAGATTTTAAAAATGTAATTTTAAAATGGCTGCGGTGAGTTGTGACATAGACAAGAAATACATGCATGCAACAAACTCTCGTCTATATTTTCCAAACATAATCAATGTCATTGGTTAAACATGAACTTCGACATATTCGGAAATGGCCAACACTGAACGCAGGCTCGCGTTGTGCCTCAAGTGTTGCCATGACAATACGATATTTTTAAATTTTTAAATAGTTTTACATTTTTTGTACAAAAGGCAAGATAGTTAAAAGATTCAGTGTTGGAAAGGAAAACTGTTCACGTTTAATAGGCAAAAAGTTTATTTAAATGAAGCAACAAAATTCATCAATATTAAACATTCAAAGGAAAGTTGCCTTATATTTCACTATTTCCCATAGTATATCAATTCTTTTCATTTCGAAACAAACATTGCTTCAAAGCTCGTTGTACCTGAAACGATTTCCAAATATATGTCTCCGAGAAAATTGAAATCTTGCTTATCCCACTCCTGGCAAGCAGCCATGTTTTTGAGATCAGTGAGATGATCCACCCATACACCATGAACCTTGACACACTTTTGACTTCGCTAATGCTTTGCTTTCCCCGGGGTAAAAATAGTACCATAAACATAAAGCTAACTAAGCAAAGAGCGTGTTTTGGGACCAGATTCGGCAAAGATTTTGTATGAAGTTTATTGATTTTTGCAAACATCTTCTGCGGGGCGACAAGTATACTTATTATTAAATTTCGTTTAGATATACTGTTTGGGATAAAATCTTGTGCGTAATACTTTTTTCCATTTTTAAATGTTTCTTCCCTTGAATCCTAGACAAGTCGTTTTAACCAACTAGTTGGAAAGTTTAAGATAATCAGATTGGCAAAAATGCACAATCGAGAAACTAGTACACTATTTTATACTAGAAATTAATATTAGCTATACGAATTCTGAATATCCGAGTATATCTTATATGATAATTTGAGTACATACACGCTTCCGTGTGGAGGCAATTCTCGGGTTTCATATGACGTCACGAATTATTATTATTATTATTATTATTATTGTAATATCTTTATACACGGTAACTAATCAACCATATTACCTAAGTATTTACAAAAATTATAAAGGTTTTTTTTTTTATTAAGCCGTGTTACTAAATACAGATTGAAACTCGAAATACTATTATATAAAGTATTATAAAAATATTAAAAGATACTAAGAAATGTTTGGGTCGAAGTGATACGTTAAATATATATTAAAAATGAATTAAGTTTTAATATTATTGTTCCAGTCTTTAGCAGCAGCATATCCGAAAGTCCTTTTCAGTGAATTTGTTTTAGGCTTCGACAACATCAGCATCTTGTTATTGCTTCTTAAGTCATATTTATCAGAATTTGGTTTGGACATTGATTTGAAAGGGCTTTGGCCACATATGCTAATTTTTGCTCCTTTCTTCTCTCTTCGAGTGTTTTCCAATTTAATTTCTTTAAAATATCAGTGGAGCGAATTTCATAGGTATCACCTGTGATTACTGTAGCTACACGGTTTTGTAGTCTCTGTAGCTTCTCTTTTGAACCTTTGCCACAGTTTCCCCAAACCATGGAGCAGTAATCAAAACTCGGTTGCACTAAAGCCTGATAAATATATTTAAGAGTTTCAAAAGAAACAAATGCTTTGCACGGCGCAGCATACCAATGCCCTTCGATACCTTTTTACTGATGTTGTCGATTTGATCATTCCAACATAGATTGTCATCAATCAGTACACCTAAAGTCTTTTTGCAATAATCCTGTTTCAATAGTTTCTCCCCGCCCGATACACTGGTATTTTTTTTAATTTTAGCTAGTCTTTGACGGGTTACAATGATCATATATTCTGTTTTTTCAATGTTTAATGTTAGCTTGTTTCAAAGAAGTTACTGGTAAACATTTTTCATTTCAGTATTTAGTGCTTCCTCCAAATTATTAATGCTATCTGAATATACTGTAAGATTTGTATCATCTGCATACATTCCCGGACAGGATTTATCCAAGCAATTTGGCAGGTCATTTACGTATAATAAAAGCAAAATAGGACCAAGGTTCGATCCCTGGGGAACCCCACAACGTATTTTCCTACTAGACGATGTTGCACTGTTCACCCTGCAGTATTGCGTTCTGTTATGCAAATAAGATTTAAACCAATCTAAGGCCTTATTTTGGATTCCATACATAGATAATTTACTTAGCCGAATTAGATTAGAAGATTAGGTTAGTAATTTATTATCTTTCCCACAGAGGAAATTTTCAAAGATAATTACAAAAGAAATGCAATAATTTATATATATATATATATATATATATATATATATATATATATATATATATATATATATATATATATATATATATATATATATATATATATATATATATATGAATATAAGTACCTAATTACTATTTTATAGACATACACATTACTATAATGATGTTTAAAAGTTTAAAAGTTTAAATAGCTAAGAAGTCGCCGAGAAGTTTATTTCGAAGGCTTCTCTTAAAACTTACAACATTTCGACTTCTCGTGGTTCGCTGGCTATTGTCTACACGCTTTACAAATTGTTCGGATAAATAATCTGGAGCACAAAATAATGCCAAAGTGGCGTTTCTCAAATACAACTCGCTAGCAACAGGCAGCCATTTCAATTCCTTTAGTGCTGGTGTTACATGGTCAAATTTCCTTATACCACAAACTATTCTGCAAGCGAAATTTTGTATTAACTGCAGTTTCTCAATGTTACACTTTGAGGTGTTACTCCATACATTGGAACAATATTAAAGTCTACTGAAAACCAAACTGTTTATGCTATTAATCAGAGTACATTTGTCGAAGGCATTCTTCACACGATTAATTTGACCCAGTATGGACATACACGTGGAGACGGTCTTATTAATATGGTGGTTGTAGGTTAAATTAACATCCAGAGTCACGCCAAGGTCCCTTGCCATTTCGATAGAATTAATTTATTTTCCCAATAGTGTCAGGGAAAGGTCCTGCAATCTAGATAGCATTTGTCTGCTCCCAAACACCAATAACTTGGTCTTTTCAGGATTCAGAAGCAGGCAATTGCTAAAACACCAATTTAAGACTTTAGTCAAATCCTCGTTAATATTCTCTATAGCAAAAAATTTAATCTGAGCTTTGAAGGAGTGCAGTAGACCTGTGTCGTCTAGGTCACAATGTGGATCGCAGTTTTGAGGTGCAGTTGAGAGGTCGTTGACATAGATGTTAAAGAGTAAAGGCCCAAGGATACTTCCCTGCGGCACGCCGTTTGTCAAGGCAACGCATCCGATGCTGTACTGTTTATTCGTACAACCTACTGTCTGTTGAAGAGGTGACTACTGAACCATTGTAAACACGATTGTGAACCACCCATATCTTGTAACTTTGATATCAAAAGATTATGATTAACACAGTCAAATGCTTTGCACATATCCAATAAGACCAGAGCTGTAACTTTCCTTTGGTCTATAGCATTTAGCATGGAGTCTGTGATATTAATTAACAAAGTTTCGGTCGAGAATCCACGTTTGTTACCACTTTGCTTGCTTGAAAGCCGCTTTTTCAACGTAAGATATTCTACAAATTGATTATAGGCAACCCTTTCGCAAACCTTTGATAAATGTAATAATGATATTGGTCTGTTATTATTCGCCACTTCCGGGTGATCCTTTCCCTTTGGAATTGGTGCAACTTCGGCAATTTTCCAAACTATAGGATAGGCTGACGTAGTTAGTGAAGTGTTAATAATTGATGTTATTACTGATAAAATGGGCATAATGCAATCCTTAATCACTCGAATGGGAATTTTCACTGCCCGGTGTTTTGGATATTATGAGGATATTATGCTTCCTACTCTGGCTGGCTCGACCTCTTTAAATGAAAATTGTTCCGTTAAAGGGTATTGTCTTGGTGTAAAACGGTCACGGTCGCATTCAAACCCAAATTCGTTTGCCAAATCATTGATTTTATCAACCGCACTTTTACCGACAGAAGCAAAGAATCTTGACTGACTGAAAATTCTTTGCGAAGACGATTTTTTAGGAATGCATAAGCGGATAGATTTCCAGATATTATTAGAATTACCTGGATCTTTCTCTATCTGGTTTAATACAAATTCACGCTCGGCTAGTTTAATTTCACGCTTAACTTCTCCACGAAATTTCTGTACGCAGACCACGCCAAGGGATCATTTGACCTTTGGGCAAGCCTGCGCCAGTGATCTCTTGTTTTCATCAATGCACAAATGTTTTCATTAACGCAAGGATTTGGTTTCCCTTTTACCTTGATGGATTTTATTGGAGCATGTTGATTTAATATATCATTAAACATAGTGTTGAAGGCATTTACTTTATCATCAATGTCAGTAAATACATCTATAACAGACCACGGAGCTTGCGATATATCATTATAGAAAGCTTCTCGATTGTAATGTTTAAAGCTTCTAATGTTTACATAAACCGGTTTTGTACGAGGCTTTTTTAATCGAAGTGTTAAATAAACCAAGTCGTGGTCACTGACCGAGCTGTGCTTGACAAAGGATTCTCTTACTTGTTTAATATCAGATACAAGGATAATATCCAAAAGCGAACTAGTTTGTTCAGTAACTCGCGTAGGTTCCCTAATCAACTGTGTTAGATTGTATGATGAACAAAAATTTCCAAGGACTTTGCAGTCAGAAGCTTCGGGTTTCAGAAGATTACAATTTAAGTCACCCAGTATGTAAATAGGTGCGCATAAAGATGAAGCATAAACAAAATTTGCTGCAAGATCTGAGTCGAAACATGATGTCGGTGTATTAGGAGGTCGATAGACAGTACTTATTATGATGGATTTTAAGTGCCTGACCTGTACCTTCAACCAAAGTTGATGAAAACCTGACGCAGAAATCGACGAGATGTCTCTTAGGCAAATTGTTTTGTAGATTTGACGTACATAAATACACACACCGCCGCCGGTTTTATTTTCTCGATCAACACGATAAATATTATAGCCAGGTATTTCAATTTCTAAATCGGTAATTTTGCTGTCGAGCCACGTCTCAGATACAGTAAAAACATCGAATTTATTCGACAAGATCGTTTCTTTGATAAGTAAATAATGATGTCGATTTTTTAAAGAGCGAGCATTGAGATGAGCTATCTTTAAATCTGTTGAATTCTTCTGCTGGTTAACAGAATAATTGTCCGGTCCAGGGTTAGTTTCAACGTCGTGAATAAGTTTAATTACTTGCCTAAACGATGCTGTAGAGTTATTGTAATAGGGGGCGACTGCATTTGACATCTTCTCTCTTGAATAGCCCGTCAAGTTGAAACGCCGCTTCGGAATAACGCCTTCAAGATGAATCACCTGATAATAGCATTTTGAGTTCCAATCCTGGCACAATAAAGTAATCTGATCTTCGTGCCGCGTCCAACAATCAAAACCTTGATCAATAATACCAGTAGAATAGGTAATAGCGAAAGACAAAGTCATAAAAATTGAAAATAATCGAGAGCAATCTATAGTATGACCGCCCATGTCGAGGCACAATTGAGTTGGACACACAGTTTTTTAGTTAATAGTTAGTTCAAAGCCAGTTTAACCCTTTATTAAAAGTGGCAATGCACCCAGATGCGCCCTACTTTAATGTTTACTCTGTCTAACGCCAGATTATTTTACATACATATAGTTCTTGTTGCTTTGCATTATAAATTTTACACAATGCAAAGCTTTCTTATTTGGCAACAATTTCCCACTTATCAGTGATGTTCAATTGGCTACTAGTGGACAAGATATTAAATTGCCAGTGGACAAATTACAGATTGTTAAATTGGCTACCAGTGGACAAACTACTATACAGTTTAGAGACGCGGTTCTGACGTACAAATGTGTAAATAACCTTGAACCAGATTACTTGTGGAATAAGTTTAGAAAATGGTCATCAATACATAAACGTCACACTTGCACACATGACTCTCTGCAAATACCACTCTTCAAAACTCCGGCTGGTCAACGGTCGTTTGCCTATAGAGCTGTCCAAATTTGCAACAATTTAGATAAAAACCTGAAAGATAGCGCTTTCCTTAAAATCTTCAAGATAGCTGACTTAAAAAACATTTGCTTGCCAAAGAAAACGTTTAATAACTTACTAAATTTTGTGCATGGTCATAAATATTTGTAACTAATTTCTGAAAAACCCTTTCAGGAAGAAATTTATTTAATATCTAAATCTAAAATGTTCTATATGTAGACAGGTGCTACAATATTTTCAGTCTTTGTGTAACCCCCCCCCCCAAGATTCCGAAGAAAGCAAGTACCCCCACACTCACAACCCCATAGGACAAGATGAATTTTACATGACCCCCTCTCCTCAATTTGTAATTTGTACCAACCTTAGCTCCATGATATGATTATTCCTTTGGCCGCCAAAACTCTCACGAATGAGTGCAATTCCCGCCAAAACTCTCTCGCCTGAGTCAGTACTGGACTGTCGCTTGCAGGATTAACGGTAGCTCATAAAAACATTGCCTATTCGCGTGAGAATCTTCCATGTTTGTCAAGAGCACTTGACAGGTTTTGATCTGATCAGCCAATCACGTTCAACCAGAACCAAGCTTTGAAACCAACAAATGATCATTCATGATCATCGCAAACATTGAACTTTCTCGGTAAAAACATTGAACTTTGTCATAATTGGAAGTGGCGGTATTGAATGAGTGAGCCTTTTACAAATCGCAGTCCGCGATTTGTAAAACACGGCCTCAGTCTGCGTTTTACAAAATAATCTCAGTCCGCGATTTGTAAAACACGGACTCAGTCCGCGTTTTCCCAGTCCAGTCCAGTCCCGTCCAGTCCGTGTTTTACAAATTCAGTCCGCGATTTGTAAAGCACGGACTCTGTCCGCGTTTTCAGAGTCCAGTCCAGACTAGTCCAGTCCAGCTCGTCTTTTACAACGTGCCTGCTAATTGCACGAGAAAAATAATAATTTGTATGGTACAAAATCGTATAGTACAAACATATTTGCCCGGCGGTACCGTGTCATTCAATGCGTTCCATTCCATAGAGATTATAAATAACACTAGAGGGGGCATCGTAATCTTATTTCAGTCAAAGAAAGGGAACGCGGCTATTGGAGGGCAAAAAATTAAAATGCTAAACTGAGGAGCGAGTTTGAGCCAAAATCTCTAAATTCTTGTTTATGGCAGTTAAGTAGTCCCGTTTTGGTTTTTATCAAGCATTTTTACCTCAATTTTGTCTATAACACAATTTTGAGAACGCTCAAAAATAATGTTGAAGCCGGTAATTTTGATCTTTTCATGAGGAATTAAACGTTTTAATTCAAAATTTTGGGGAGAATGTTTGCAGTAATGACATGCAAAACATATAAAACAGTTTTGTGCCTGTTGTTTTAAATGCTTCTGGTTTCAAGTGTAACCCAAGAAATGTGTGGCGTTCATCCGGGATTTCAATTTTCCCTATTACCGCGCTTTGAAATTTCACCCTCGATGCCCCCCTCAAGTGTTATTTATAATCTCTATGTTCCATTCGGTGATGAAGAAAATAGTATTTTTTACCAATAGCACGTGATCGTAATCAGCCAATTAAGTGATAACAATTTAATAAGACGTTATACATTATGAAATACGTACTCTATCATTTTTAGTCCTAAAATTTTCACTTATAATTAAGATCGCTATATAATTTCCTTTTTTTAAAAAATTCACTTAAATTCTTAAATTAATTACTGCCTGTGTAGTTCTGTTTTCGAGGCAAGGCATTGCATGATTATTAGTGCACGCATTCAGTCTCATTGGGGTGGGGTTCATCTCGGTTTCGCCTCAATGATTTGGCGATAATTTAGCTCCACCCTTTTCTTGCATTGTTTTATTTACTGAAATCAATCGGCTAGGAGGATGGTTACTCCTAGCCAAGTTATCCAAAACATTACTATTTTCAAACATATGCGTATTATTATCGTTATTAATAAATATTGTTTTGTTTACTTAACTAAATCGGCTAGGAGGATTATTACTCCCAGCCAAATTATCCCAAAGTGTGCTATCTTTAATGTTTTGCAAATGCCAAGAAAACAAAGCTTCGGAGAATGAATGCATGCACATGCGGTGGCTACAGGGGCAGTCGGTAATTTATAATACATAAATCACATTACATAAAAGAGTTATTTTTCAGGCCTGTGACATAGCCAAAGGACTTCGCATTAATGTCCTTGTGATTTTATGCATGGGATTACCAATATTTTAAATATTTATTCGGACATCTGCAACTTATCGACTCTTACTTTGTTTATACACATTTTCATTAAAGTGAATTCGACAACTTTCATTGTATTTTCCCCAAGCCACACGCGGAGTGAAGCCCGTGGCGAGAGTACTAATTCCGCTCGGCTATATACATCCGGGGAAGGGATAGCATTAGCGAAGTCTAAAGTTCATCAATAATCGCGGGCGCATGGCTATGCACGTGTGGTCATCTCAATGATCTCAAAAATATAGCTGTTTGCCAGGAGTGAAGAAATCAAATATTAAAAAAATATGCATGAAAGATAGCTTTGGCATCTTTTCACACAATAAGTTGTAAATCACCTTTTTCAAATTTTAAAGAAACGGTAAGTATAGGAAATCCTGAACTATAGGGTAAATTTGTTTTTACCGTTTATATACGACTTTGCTCTCCAGTTTTCGCCTGAACTCTGAAGGCCTCGAAAATATGATACGCTTAATGCATGTCTGCCACCGATGGAAATGGTTTGTTTTGTTTTCCCGAGAGTCTCAATGTTTCCCGAGACGAAGTTGAGGGAAACATTGACATTCGAGGGAAAATGAAACTAACTATTTCCTGAGAGAACGGACATTAAGTGTTTTGTTATACAACGACGAACAAAAATCAACATTCAACAACAACAATTGTATTTCGTGACAAAAACTCTATAGTGTAAACGAGTTTAAAATTAAAAGAACCTACTTATGGTGACTCCCTAGGGTTTTATTTCCAGGGGTTACGTTCTTTGTCTATAAATGTAAACTAAAATTTGTGTGACTTCAAAATACGAAAGAACGTTTTGTTTTATATGGAACGTTTTATATGGAACTCTTTTTTGCAACAAATGTGTGAACTTTGCTTTAGTTGAAAGCACTGAAAAAGAGTTCTAAAATCCACAACGACACTTTGACGTGATGTTTCAGAGAAGATCTGTAATGTAAATTTTTTTTCTTAAAGCGGTATTCTGTTTATATTTTGTAATATTAAAAAAATCATGCCTTGTTGTTCTATACGAATTGCATGTACCGGTCAGATGTGATCTTAAACATTACGTCACACTTTCTTAAAATTCTATCGAAGGGAAAATTTCTAATATTGATTTTTTACGCTTGTTAAATTTTCTAAGAAACGTTTCGATCAATTTTTTTAAATTGAGGGGGAAAATATTATACATGTATTATCTTTTATGCAAAGTTTTTAAAAAGTTCACCCAAGGTAATTTTTAAAATGACCTGATAAAGACAAATTTTGAGCTTTATTTTAAGCATGCTGTTGCCATGGCAACAGTCTTTCAACACAAAAGTAGCAAATTGCAATGTTAACTTTTAGCCCGGCGGGATGCAGTACATTGCATTTATCTGAAGTCACGTGACTACAAATCAGCCAATCACGTTTGGTGTTCGCCACTCTAGCTATATAACAAATAGAAGATATCATACGGCGCGCGAAGATATATACTTTTATTTTCAAGTCGTAATCTTTTAGAGGGCAAGCTTGAAAAATATGCCTGGCCACGGTGGGAATCGAACCTACGACCTTCTGGAAAACTAGCCTAGGGGAAAGAAAAATTTCCACGGACTGAAAATTTGTGTCGGCCAATCACATTTGATAAAATTTTCTTTCTTCGAAAAATTTTCCTGAGTAGAAATGGGCCTTAATGCTCTGCCAATTAACTGTGTGCTACGCGGTCAGGTCGGTTCGACTATGTGACATTCGGAACAGAATCAAGTTCCTTCGATATCAATGTAATCTAGCAATAATGATTTTTTCTGTATTGGTGTAATGTACAGTACTTAAGCCGTGAATATGATGTTTTTGATGTTACACTGAGTGTATACCCACACCGGACAAGCTTGAAAAATATGCCTGGGCATGCTGGGAATCGAACCTACAACCTTTGGAACACTAGCCCAATGCTCTACCAACCGAGCTACGCCGTCAGGTATGTATCAATATAATCTAGTAATTTTGACCAAGCTTGCCCAGTGTAGATGTATATACACTAAGAGTAACATCACAAGCAACATATTCACCTGAGTACATTGCACCAACAGATAAAAAATCATTATTACTAGATTACATTGAAATCGAAGGAACTAGATTCTGTTCCGAAATATCACATAGCCGAACTGACCTGACCGCGAAGCTCAGTTGGCAGAGCATTGGGCTAGTGTCACAGTGCTAGCGTTGCAAACGTCGTAGGTTCGACTCCCACCTTGGCCAGGCATATTTTTCAAGCTTAGCCGGTGTGGATATACACCCATAGTAACATCACAAATATCAATTAATGCGCATGTCACAATGTGTAGCACACAACGTACACTGCAATCACTTTCATATGTTGTTGGGACACATGTAGTTTTAGCTTGTAAGTGGATCATTACAGTTTTTTACACACAAAACCACTCCCCTCCCCCTCCCCCCACCCCAATCAATGTTGTTTAAACTAAAACACATCAAACCTGACGAGAAATGGGACACAACATTGAACAGGGGGCGGGGATTGACGTTTGTTGAAATTCAATGGTTTTGTGGCATCTGTCCCAAGACTTTTGAAACTGATTGTGGCATTCATAAGTTTGTTTAAATGATTATGATTAGAAATTTATTATCTTTCCCACAGAGGAGCTTTTCAAAGATAATTACAAAAGAAATGCAATAATTTACATAAATATAAAAATATATACATATATATATATATATATATATATATATATATATATATATACAGGAATATAAGTACCTAATTACTATTTTATAGACATACACATTACTATAATGAGTTTAAAGGTTTAAAAGTTTAAATAGCTAAGAAGTCGCTGAGAAGTTTGTTTCGAAGGCTTCTCTTAAAACTTACAACATTTGGACAAAGTTTAAACTTAGACTCCAGAGAGTTCCACAAGCTTACAGTTCTATAATAAAAAGTCCTTTGGCCAGTGGCACTTTTAAATAGTGGAATGTTCAATTTCTGTGAACTTCTCGTGGATCGCTGGCTAATGTCTCCACGCTTTACAAATTGTTCGGATAAATAATCTGGAGCACAACCAGTCATGCATTTAAATGCCAAAGTGGCGTTTCTCAAATACAACTCGCTAGCTACTGGCAGCCATTTCAATTCCTTTAGTGCTGGTGTGACATGGTCAAATTTCCTTATACCACAAACTATTCTGCAAGCGAAATTCTGAATTAACTGCAGTTTCTCAATGTTGCACTTTGAGGTGTTACTCCATACATTGGAACAATAATAAAGTCTGCTGAAAACCAAACTGTTCATGATAGTAATCAGAGTACGTTTGTCGAAGGCATGCTTCACACGATTAATTTGACCCAGTATGGACATACACGTGGAGACGGTCTTATTAATATGGTGGTTGTAGGTTAAATTAACATCCAGAGTCACGCCAAGGTCCTTTGCCATTTCGATAGGGTTTATTTCTTTTCCCAATAGTGTCAGGGAAAAGTCTTGTAGTCTAGATAGCATTTGTCTGCTCCCAAACACCAATAACTTGGTCTTTTCAGGGTTCAGAAGCAGGCAATTGCTAAAACACCAATTTCGGACTTTAGTCAAATCCTCGTTAATATTCTCTATAGCAAAAGATTTACTCTGAGCTTTAAAGGAGTGCAGTAGACCTGTGTCGTCTACGTAGCAATGTGGATCACAGTTTTGAGGTGCAGTTGAGAGGTCGTTGACATAGATGTTAAAAAGTAAAGGCCCAAGGATACTTCCCTGCGGCACGCCGTTCGTCAAAGGCAAGGCATCCGATACTGTACTGTTTATTCGTACAACCTGCTGTCTGTTGGAGAGATAACTACTGAACCATTGTAAATACGATTGTGAACCACCCATATCTTGTAACTTTGACATCAAAAGATTATGATTAACACAGTCAAATGCTTTGCTCATATCCAATAAGACCAGAGATGTAACTTTCTTTTGGTCTATAGCATTTAGTATGGAGTCTGTGATATTAATTAACAAAGTTTCGGTCGAGAATCCACGTTTGTTACCACTTTGCTTACTTGAAAGCCGCTTTTTCAACGTAAGATATTCTACAAATTGATTATAGGCAACCCTTTCGCAAACCTATGATAAAACAGGTAATAATGATATTGGTCTGTTATTATTCGCCACTTCCGGGTGATCCTTTCCCTTTGGAATTGGTGTAACTTCGGCAATTTTCCAAACTATAGGATAGGCTGACGTAGTTAGTGAAGTGTTAATAATTGATGTTATTACTGGTAATTAAAATGGGCACAATGCAATCCTTAATCACTCGAATGGGAATTTTGTCACCGCCCGGTGCTTTGTTGTTAGGCATTGAAGATATTATACTTCCTACTATGGCTGGCTCGACCTCTTTAAATGAAAATTGTTCCGTTAAAGGGTATTGTCTTGGTGTAAAACGGTCGCGGTCGCAATCAAACCCAAATTCGTTTGCCAAATCATTGATTTTATGAACCGCATTATTGCCGACAGAAGCAAAGAAATTGTTAAACTCTTCTGCTACGGTTTTTTCATCTTGACTGAAAATTCTTTGCGAAGACGATTTTTTAGGAATGCATAAGCGGATAGATTTCCAGATATTATTAGAATTACCTGGATCTTTCTCTATCTGGTTTAATACAAATTCACGCTCGGCTAGTTTAATTTCACGCTTAACTTCTCCACGAAATTTCTGTACGCAGACCACGCCAAGGGATCATTTGACCTTTGGGCAAGCCTGCGCCAGTGATCTCTTGTTTTCATCAATGCACAAATGTTTTCATTAACGCAAGGATTTGGTTTCCCTTTTACCTTGATGGATTTTATTGGAGCATGTTGATTTAATATATCATTAAACATAGTGTTGAAGGCATTTACTTTGTCATTAATGTCAGTAAATACATCTATAACAGACCACGGAGCTTGCGATATATCATTATAGAAAGCTTCTCGATTGTAATGTTTAAAGCTTCTAATGTTTACATAAACCGGTTTTGTACGAGGCTTTTTTAATCGAAGTGTTAAATAAACCAAGTCGTGGTCACTGACCGAGCTGTGCTTGACAAAGGATTCTCTTACTTGTTTAATATCAGATACAAGGATAATATCCAAAAGCGAACTAGTTTGTTCAGTAACTCGCGTAGGTTCCCTAATCAACTGTGTTAGATTGTATGATGAACAAAAATTTCCAAGGACTTTGCAGTCAGAAGCTTCGGGTTTCAGAAGATTACAATTTAAGTCACCCAGTATGTAAATAGGTGCGCATAAAGATGAAGCATAAACAAAATTT